CGGTCCCATTTCCTGCTGTTACTGAGAGGTGCGAAAATGCATCAGGCCCTGTTAAAGTACCTGACGTAGTAGCATCTATTTAATCTGCTAATAGGTGTTTCTCTTGTGGACACGAAAGGCATACTTGCCCGGATTGTCTTACACGCGATGTGTTGTGCAAAGGGCGCGGTAAAAGGTGGACACTTCCAAAGAGTTTGGAGGTCCTCCGCTCCTCATCATATCCGTTCACTTCTCGTATGGAGTCAATTGGTGATCCTAGTTGCATTTCGAAAGTGTTGATTGAACTTTAGATCAACGTGACTAATTTTTCAAGCCTTGAGAGAAAGCGTTTGGTCGTCAGAGAGTAGGGAGCGACGACAGCAGATGACTTCCCTGACGGCCCGCCTGTAGCACTCAGCAAAAACACCACTGTTCACCTTCGCCCTGCAAAGAATGACCCGGATGCACTAATGTTTGAGGAACTATTGTCTGCTCGAATACATGCTCGTCAGGTGGCCAGATAACTGGGAAGGGTTGATAACACGGGATAAGTGGTGTTAAGTACTAGACGGATCACCTCCTGCTAACATGGAAAATAAGGTTGCAAATCCACCTTGGCGCAGCGTTAGGGAAAGAACGTGCCGGAGAGGCTGAGTACTGCAATGCTGGCCCTGAAAGCGTTCCTTTCGGGATCTATTGGCATAGCTAGTGTGAGGGAAGTGTTTAGACAAATCTGGCAGGGTGAGGAAATACTGTTATCCTACATCAAACTAACATCATAATTAAACACCAAAGGTTTGAAAACATCTGTGCGTAAAATACCTCGGTATGATGTTTAAAACGCCCAAATTTTGGCGAGTTGACGGAATGCACAGAGAAATTATGGACAATGCTAAAGAAAGGTGTTTAATAAATCCCTGGAAGACAACGAACAAAAAGGATGATGGATGTACTGGGGTAGTTGGACGAATGCGGCAACAACCAGCTGTAGGAGGGTACGAAATTGGTTACCACGGTCTCCAAATTGAAGAATGTAAGTGAACGCCTAGGCTTCGAGGAATAAAGGAAGATGGAGCTCAATCAAAAGCAGTAGCAAATGTCTTTTCATGTAGCCTCTTCGACGTAACGCATCGAATAACGTACTCTAGTGCACTGTAGCTAATGGAAATGACATTTTTACATCATAAACAATTTGTACCTTTCTTGTTAATCCATACTGCTTTTTTTAAAAACAACCGCTTTTCGCTCAAATTCGGTATTTTTGAAATCATAATATCACTTATAAACACTGTTTAGTACGACTACAGTCGCACAAGGCGGTTCTCCGAAAACAAATAACGGGAAGAGATCTGATTGTACGATTGGTTCTACAGGGTTATCTGCGGAGCGAAGGCACCCAGGTAATCTATACTGCGGATACCTCCCGCATTATTATTATTATTATTATTATTATTATTATTATTATTATTATTATTATTATTATTATTATTATTATTATTATTATTATTATTATTCAGTTTACTATAAGGGGTGAACTACCCGGTACGGCCATGGTTCCGTCCATTACAAGTTGGCCCAGTCCTTATGACAAGGGCATGTGCACATGCTATTAGGGTGCTAACAAGGTCTTGACGGTGGGTCAGGGCAGTTAATTACCTGCCTATGCATTTAAGTCCAAATTTACACGGCGGGTCACGTCAGCATGATGTCTTAGCAAAAGTACAAAACCTCAACAAAAAGGGCCGTCAAAGTTACGTTTCCGATGCAATTTTTCGTGCATCTGCAGGCTCCGGGAAATGGTTGTAAAAATATTACCAAGTGTTCGACCAGGCCCGCGGTCTAACATTATAAACGACTAGATGGAAACGGTTTAATAATAAGTCCAACGACGGATATACTGTAATACACCTTATATAAGAGAACCCATTGGGCGTAATTTAATATGAACTAAGCGGTGAGAGGTAGGATTGCAAAAAACTTGCGGAAATGCTAATGGCCGTATGGGGTTTCCGCGGACATCGTGTGTTTACAGCGGAAATGAATTCAGTTATATAATGTGCCTAGCTGAAGAAGGCGTGCCAGTGAGTCAGGTAGCGCACTAGGCGCGCTCGAGTGACAGCAAAAAGACGACCCAAAGATGTTTATTGGTTGTTGAACGAATTCACTGTAAGGGGTCTATGTGAGTGAACGACTAGAAGAAACAGCTACTTACGAAAGGAAATGTGCATGAATTACACAAATATCGGGAAGTGGGTGCGCCTTTAAGGAGAGATTCATCGTCGAGACGGACGTCTGAATTCGCTCGCAAAATCTCCCATCTGAGTTTTGGCTTTTCTTCCCCTAGACACGGTGAAATATAGGGAAACCTATTCACATCCTTACCCACCACTCCGACAAACATAACGGTATTAGTGAAGCATACGTATTGTGCCGCCTCAGTTTCTCCAGCTCTAACCCTCATCAGAACTCCGCTCTAACCGTTGGGGTGTCTTGACCTCTTACCTTGACGGCTTTGACCCAGTTCTACAACAAACCAACACTGCCGGTGCTTTCCTACTTTGATATCTCTGACAGGACTTCTGCTCAGCTTTTATAGTTATAACATAACCACGAAATAAACCTGCCCGGAGGTTCCATTTCCGTCTGCGAGGCAGTTGATCACATTGAATATCACCCCTGAGGCGCAGGTTTACTGGAATTTGCAACACCATTTTAGTTCTAGTTCTTTCACTGTTTCATCCATAATTCACCCTTTTTTCTCGTGAACACCCCAAACCATGAAAACCACCATGAACTATATTTTTATTTCTTTACCTCGGGAGCTTTCTTCCCTGCCTATCGGATTTGTGCTTAATCGCTTCTCTTGACAATGCCTGTAAACTGGCATTAAATTATTATTATTATTATTATTATTATTATTATTATTATTATTATTATTAATATAATCACTAGAATTAATGGATATTATTTTCGTTAGTATTTGGTGCGAAATGCAAATCGCCGATGGGCGCCTGCAATGTTTTCAGTCTCGTTAAACTTTTGTCCAAATTTCATCTTGCCACTTGATGTTAATGCAGAACTCTTGGCCATCATAATTTTGCATTATTCATTTGTTGGTTCCGTGTTTACTCCGCACCTTTAGAGTCGTAGGCGACTTTAACCGTAAAATAATTATTGTGATATACAACCTGAGGTATGGTCTTGAACTTACTAATAATAAAACTGGCAGCATTCCGCCAAAGTGCCTTTAAATTATGCCGCCGCTCATATTAGAATACAACCTTCTAGAACTCATTTATCCACGCGCTCGAAAAAAATGCATTCCGTGAGCCCGCTGTTCATTTATAACTCAACAAAACTCCAAGTTTACTTACAGCCATATAAACGGCTTTGCCTTGCTTCCGCTTCCCAGCGGCTTTAGTGAATTCAGTATGCAATGGTTTCGGTATTCGGTTGCACGAAGACGGATGTGTAGTTTCGCTGGCAGTATTCAGTTAGACTTATCGCAATTACCAACATCCCATGTTAAATATGCCGCACGAGTTAGATTACATGACAACAACGTCATTTTATTGGCATGTATACAGGCATTTTGCATCAGTTTCAAACACCGAATGACACAAGGACAAGGCACACAGATTCACATGTATCACTAAGGGGCTATCAGCAATGCGCGAGACGCAGCCTAATTCGATAAGGAGGATTCATAATGTATGTCACTAGCAATCTGCCCGCTATCGCTCACATACAAACTTCTGTTCCGGGATGTGAAACTCTTAAGCATTACCATATCTGCTGAAAATGTCCGACCACTGACGCTTTCGCTGGTGTATCATTCACCTAACCAGACTTCCAACCAAGATCAAATGCTCGTAACTGAACTCTACAAAGCCAGTGAGAAGAAATCTGCCATTGTCGTTGGGGATTCCAACGCCCCGCGTCATTGATTGGCATACGTGAACTGCACAACGGCCGCAAGACAAATGTAATCACAAACTACTACTACTATGGGCAACAGACAAACTCCCCTGCCAGAAAGTTACGTTTGGAACGCGGACTAGGGAAGTAAAACAGTCGAACTGCCTTGACCTTTTTTACCCGGAAGGAGGAAAATGTTCTAGACCTGCAGGACTGACCGCCAATAGAGTCCAGGAATCACATCATGCTCTACTTCGAGTACTCATTGTTTTCCAAACCCATTCTGTCTGATAAGTGGAAAAGAAACGATTGGAAGGGAGACAATTTACGTAGGAGGAGAGAAGCGGCGGCGGGATCACGGGAGACTGAACTGCATGGTGGAGCAAACGACTATTAGTTTGTTTAAGTTTCCTAATGAAAGAGCTTGTTTATCTCAACTGTCCTCTCAGAAGAAAGACAATGACACCCCGTCCAAGGTGGTTAAACTCGAACCTGGAGACCTGTTTTAGGTGACGAAATCGCTTTTAGATCGTTAACGACTAATCGGCTCCGAAGAGCATGTACGGGAAGATAAGCAGCAACGCAACATTTGCAAAAGGTAGGCTTCCAAGCTTCGAAGGAATGTGGAACTGAACACACTGCGTAAATCATTCGAGCACCCCAAAGTTCTATATAGCCGTATATGGAGAATTGAAGGAAGTGACAAACTGATCCCTACTACTAGGTCTGTTGACAGGAAACTGGAGAATGACGACCAGGTCAAAGTGGCCCTCCTGTCTAAATTCTTTCAATCCGTCTTCACCCGAGAACCTAGATTTATATTTTCCCATCCA